ATACTATAATCTTAAAAAATAAAAGGAAGTAATTTTAAGAGTGGGCCAGTTGTGTGAATTTCTGTCTCCATGTTTTCCTCTGCCTTCAGTGTATTGTATCTTGTGATCGTCTACACTATAGGAGGTGAGTGGTTCAAGAAGCTTAAAATGGTTCAAGATTTTAATGTTATTTTTTTAAATATCGGAAGACCATAAAATTAAGAAACCTCACAGTTTAAGTTAATTTCATGACAGGCTTCTGTCGCTTTCAAATTCATTTATAGTTTTTAATCACAATTAAGTGTTTTTGGTACAAAAATATATTTTTTTCTTTAAGAAAGAGTAGTTATTTCTGAAAATATCAGGGAAAATGGTTTATGCAATATGACTAGTGATTTCAACCTTTTATTTGATGGCATAATTAAAGGCGTGCACACATTTCAATACCAAATCAAAAAATTGTGATATAGGATGTACTAAATATTTTCATGAAAAAATATTTTATGTTTTCAACTGAATGTATACGTCTGTAATTTTTTTCTAAATGTATTACCAAGTATTCATTGTAGGGGTCTCAATATAACACCTTATTGTGTAAAACAGAAGGTGTCACCTCTATAAAACTTGAATGTAAAATTTATTGTTTTGCTGTCATCTAGTGGTAATAAAGTATATGACATAAAGTATAAAAGTGAGTTAAATCTTTATTTTTACATAAATTACGGCTCTGACCTTTCAGATGTAAGTATTAGCCTATGGTACAAGTAGAAAACAACAAATACCAGAAACTTTTCTAGTTTGACAGGCTGAGGTTAACCTACTAGGGTGAATATATACTAGGGTGAATATATACTAGGGTGAATTATACTAGGGTGAATTATACTAGGGTGAGTTTTTATTTTTTACTTTATATTGTATGTATAACTTACGAACATTTGAAACAAAAACAGTACTTTAAAATCTGAGCATCTTGGAGGAAATTGATATAAATCTCCTGTTGATCTAGAGAGACTGGATCTAAGCAAAACTGCAGTTGTAAAAAAAGTCTCCAAGAAACTTTAAAATATAAATACTAAGATTCCCATGTGTTCCCAAACACCTGTGAGAGAATCACATTGGAAATAAGGGGTGGCGGGAAGGACTTTTTTCAATTGCATGTTCTAGAAAGTTATTAACATATTGTTATCTAAATATATCTCAAAACAAGGAAAGAAAATTTAATGCTAATACAGCACAAAGCACAAAAATGGGAAGAACAGAGAGTGTTCTCTGAGTTCTACTAGAATCAAATATAAAGTATTCATCTTTTCTTTTTCACCAGGGAATTCACATAGACATTGCATATTTTACTATAAAGTGCAGTAGAAAATTCATTTTCAAAGACAGCCAACAATGTTCCAAGTACCTTCTGGCTACATTTTCCCAGTGTTCCACACACATCTCAAAGACTTCACAGGACAAAAGATTTTAACTATGACGTTCATCAAAATATTCCTTATTATAGGCTACAACCTTTTAGATACATTTAGACTGTGGGATATAATTTATATGATCATTATAAATCACGTTTTGTAACACTTAATGACTTTAAAGAACTTGTATATAGAATTTATTATTATGCAATAATAAAGAAAAAGCTAATAAGTTAACATGATTAAATTTTATTTTAAAATACTCAGAACAAATACTTTCACTGACGTATAATATTTCCTCGAGCTATTTATGCGCATACCATATATATATATATACATATATATATATGTATATATATATATATATGTATATATATATATATATATATATGAATGAAACTAACATAGTAGCTGAAAAAAAAAGTCGATTCCAATGTTTCATTGTTTGTTCCTAGGAAATATTGTTCCTAGGAAATATTGAGAACAAGCAAAAGAAACTTATTCTAAGTACTACTATTTTTAGATTCCATTTAATCATAGGGAGAAACTAAATTCCAGGTCCCAGGCCCTAGGACTGCTGGGGACTTCCCTACAGCTGAACAGCTTCTGTTGTAAACCATCATCTGAGTTCAGACATCTCAGGGTCAACTTGTAAAGAGTCGGTTGTCTGAGTCCAGCCATTTCAAGGACAACTTGTCCATCTTGCTGTCAGGGTCAAACAAGTTCATGTTCCCGGGACTAGGAACAAACATCTATCCCCCTTCTCCAAATGCTGTCTTAATTGTCTGTAACCAGTAAAGACTATAGAAATTGTTATCTAAACCAAGGTGAATAAATTGTAAAAATATATAATCCATTGCCTGCTAGGCCCTAATTAGCTACATGCAGATGACCTGTTCCTTAGTCCCCTTATCACTCTGTGCTCCTAAAGATTAGGAGAAAGAACTAAGGACCTTGAAGCTAGATACCCTGGATATGGCCCAGTCTTTAATGTCCACCCCCTTTGTTAACCCTCAATGTCAAAATACAATAGAATAACACTGCAGCTCTTCCAATCTCCCCCTCCCTTTGTGTTCCCATCCTCTAAAAATGTTGCACAACCTCCCTTCAGGGATGTTGTTCAGATTCCAAACAGGACACCTCCCTAAGTGCTCAGGAAATAAACTTGCGTTTTTAAGCTTCTGTATCTGAAGTGAATTTTCTCAACTTCTACCCCAAACCCAATACATAATTGTTAATCCTTAGGGACAAGATTTTAACCGCTTTATATATTAATTCATATGTTTCTATATTTTTGATTTATATTACTGAATGAACTCGAGCAATTTATGGGTCATTCAAGGCAAAGATTTTGGTGAACTCAAAATGCTCAGTGAAGATGGTTCTTAAGATTCAGTTGTCTGATGATTGCAGAGGAGAAACAGCCTGAGCTGGTTAAACCACAAAAGTTCAATAGCAGCAAAGATACTAAGAGATCTATTACATAATTGTCTGTGCTATTCAGTATTACTTAAATCTCCCTCCCTCCCTCCCTCCCTCCC